ACAATTTTCGAGAAGACAATTTCCCGTCGCTACCCGAATTCGAACCCGGGACCTTTGAATGAGAGGCGAACACCTTAACCTCCAGGCCACGAGAGCCCCCAACACATAAATGAAAATCGTATTTAAGACCAAAAGTATTATTACAGTGGCAAAACGAAACTGGCTGGTTTGGCTTGATTGGGGTGGGGGGTGCTGAAATTTTAAATATTATATTAAAATTAGGTGTGCTTTAACAGAACGACTGTAATATTTGTTCCACGCTTTTCTATAAGATGTATTCCTGTTGTCAGTCTTGCTTATTACGAAGACAGATTCTGACTCAGCCTTGGTACAAGACAATTGTCGACGTGTAATGGCTGTGTTTTCTGCACTGCAATCAAGGGCAACAACAAACAAAGTACGTTTTTCCAATGTCTACAGCCGGAAATCTCCATGATTATGAAAGTGACGTCAAAGATATCAACTCCATCTCCACCTCCCAATCAGTTATGGTCATAATTTGATGGTCGTGTCAGAAAGCCTTTCTTTTGGTTTCCGATAGCTATCTAAAGACACACATGACAAAACCCCCTACACGCCAATGTTGAATAAAAATCTATGTTCCTTTAAAATCGTTATGTCTCCGAACCGAACAAGATTCATTTAATTATTTTCTTCCGTGTAAACCTTCTCCTCCTCCTCCCCCTCCTCCTTCCTCTCCTCCTCCTCCTCCTTCTTCTTCTTCTAAAACCTTTTTATACAGCGTCAGGAATACTGGGTCTGTTATAATTATCTGTTGCGTTTAAATCGTATTTGTTTCCTTATTTTCAGCTCAATAATTGTGGATAAAGTGGGTTTTGTCATGGAACCCTTGGAAGGTGAGCTCTCGGTTTTATCGCAACCATCCACGCGCAGCCTCCTCGACAGGTCGCACCGGGCGAACCGTGAGCCTATACATCACGAGGGGTTATTGTATCAGTTTTCATTGATACAAGGAACGTGCAAAGGGGAGCAAATCAGGGACACCAAAGTGAAAGGGTGACTGTAAAAATGACAGACAACCCCAAACGGATTGCCGGCACACCTGTGTTGTGCGGAGAGCAGGCCCCTGAAAATAGAAATCTTACGAGGAAGACATAAGTCAGATGAAAGAGGTGATAGGGATACGGTAACAGGGGAGGTGCACGTTTCCAAGACTTCAAGACAGACAGAAAATTGGTCCGGTGGAGATAAGAGATACAGCAAAAGTAGGTGCTTTGAAAGCTCAAAGTGTAAGGAACGTTGTCGATTGGACATTACAGCGCTATCGACACGATTAGGTTATTCAAGAGTCGGGGAACGGTTGGGTTAAAGGACAGATTCGAACTGGTGCCAGGCAGAAAAGAGGCGCAATTAAACTGTTGTGAAACCTCAAAAATCTCCCTGAGTTTTGATTTATGGTGCTATCAACACCAATAGGTCACCAGAGAGTCTGAGGTCACCTTAGTGCATAGGAACTGGAAATAGGGCTTAATAAAGAAAGCAAAATGGAAAAAGGTTAAAGTAGCAAAACGGTCCACGGTTCTTCACCAAACATTCTTTTCGACAGTTTTGAGGGCGTGCTGCCAGTCTTGTCCAAGCAGAACTGCAGGGCGGATGAGATTAATTCGAACTCCGAACAGGGAATCATTCTTTTTAAAAAAACATTGCTGTGTGTGGGGAATTTTCGAGGTTTATCGCCCACTTGATCCATTTAATCAAAGACGGGCGGGTGTTTCGCCCCTATAAATAATTTTACAGAGTTGAAAATAGAACAAACCCTTATCAAACTAATCGAAGATTAATGCATATTCATCCCGAGTGTGTTGTATCTATGTTGCAGTATCTTGGCTAGACGTAGCTGTGATGACCTGCACATGAAGAAGCGACGAGACTCAAATTCCCGAAGTCAGATGTTCAGATAGAAATGTAAAAACATGCATCCACATATAAAAAGTCTGGATTGAATTTACACAAGCATGGCATTGAAGAGTAGATAACTGAGGACTACTTAACACATTAAGGCCATTTTCTGAAGTGACCTGTTCTCCAAAATTGTTCTACATCACAGACAGGAGTAATGTACATCCATAGTCCGGTTGGATGATAGTTTGGCCAATAGAACATGACCACAGGTGTTGGCTTCAAGTGTTGTACAGATCATAATTTAAAACCATGTTTTCTCTTGTAATACTGATAGCGTGTGCATGCAGTAGAATGTAGAAGAAAACGATCTGTTGGTATCTCTTATTGTTTTTAGGTGATTCCCAAGATACTTGTGGAGTATACTCTATACCTAAAGTGAGAAATGGGTGCTCTCGGGGTCTAGCGGTACGGCGTTTGCCTCTCAATCAGAAGGCTCCAGGATAAAATCCTGCCAGCGACGAAACTATGTTCTTCTCTATGTGCTCTCCATTATCTTCCTTTCGGTTTCCCTTTTCTTGTCCTGTTGTCATCTGGTTCGATCAATACACTCCCCCCCCCCTCATCCCCTGGCCTCCTCTACGCTTCTCTCGCCGTTATCCTTGACTCTTTCTATTGCTATTCCTGGCCCCTTCTTACTGCTGCCTTTCAGCCACACCCTTGAACTTGAATATCTAACACCCAGCCTTCTTACTGCTGTCTTTCAGCCACACCCTTGAACTTAGGGTAGGTAATATCTAACACCCAGCCTTCTCAGATTAGGGCACATAGTCTCGGACGTTTCTTGAGTAAGTTGCTCACATTAAAAATCCCTTGGTGAACCCAAAATTGATAAGTCGACTCTGGCAGCCACCGGACAAAATTCAAAACTAATTCCTACCAAAACTGAAAATGCTCTAATCAGAATAAATAAACATTGAGTACCTTTGAAGGCAAAATGTGGCTGCCTGAAGGCAACGGGCTCTACAAAGTAGAACCAAAGGTCACATATGTAAAAATCAGTTGCACTGCAGGTTGAAAAACAAGCAGTCGACTACCCTGAGATCTAGCAGGGGAACACAACAAGTAAGGAGACGTGAGAAATGTCTATCTTCTCTGAAATTGCATACACTTTATAGGGAATCTAATCAAGGACTCCATCATAGTCACATTTTGCAATATTTCGAGCTACATATTTGCATTTTATTTAATTTTCACATCTTTCTCCACATTGAACCATATGTGTCATGACGCAGTGGAATCAGGCACTCGTCAATTTTTGGGCATATGGAGTTATTGGTGCCATCTTAAAGGTTGTTCCTATGCCTTGCTTTCAATGAAAAAAATATCCATTTACATGGAATAGAAGTTGAGATATTTGTAATTTAAGGAGGTAGGGTCGCCTGGTTTCAGAGAAAAAAATTGTGAAAAAATGGACGCCAAAGTTTGGTGACTTCCATAGGTTAAAAGTCCTAGGAAACTGCAAATTTAAATTTGTTGCGCCTTTAATCAACGCTTTTCCATAAAATCCACACATAAAAGAGACTTTGAAAGGACATACAAGGTGTTGAGCCAAACAACAAAAATTCGAAAACAATTTCCAAACTGGCCAAAAATTCCAGATGAAATATTGCACTCACAGGTCAGTTGTGGCCACGGCAAAGAGGTGGTCAATCAGAATCAGAGCAGACACAGGCGCGTCAAAGCGTATGGTCAGCATGCAGTAAAATGTAGGCCGTCTCCACAAACGCACAGACTTGTCTTCAGAGCCAGAGATCCTAAGCACAAATAGAAATTTCGGAAATGGATTAAATTTAATCATATTCAGACCATTATAAATAGAAACTTCCTTCCATCAACATTAGCATACACTTGAAGTCTGTCTCATACATTATGATGCACAAATAAGAACAATTTGGGTGTCTTTTTATTTATTAGTTTCTATTGAAACTCTTTGAAGTTGAATTCCTTTCATGTTTTTTCTAGGATTTTTCTCTGAGACATTTTATTTTACCAAACTCCTCACCCACTCCTCCTCCACTCCTTACACACACACACACATACAACACATCTCTTTTTTGCCTCAAAAAAAGAAGTAAACAAGACGGAGTGACCAAAAGAAACTACTACTTTTGGACCACAACAGACGGTACAAGAAAATCAAAATAGACAGCCTCTCTGGTGAGTGCTTTGTACACCACCATTGTCACGTGATCTGAGTGTACACACACAAGAATGATAAGAAGTATAATCATATAAAGTAGCCATGCTAGAGAATGTATCACTTGTTGCACTCACTAGTTTTGAAATGCCTGGCAAAAACTTCCATTTTCTCAACACTGTGTGTTTGTACCTGCCTTACTTCAAGAGGCTACATAAATTTCCGACCAAAGAAACTAAATTATTACTTTTTTCACACATTTGTTGGGCTTCAAAAAATCTTAAAATTGATACTCGCATAGTCTTATATGGTCAAAATGCAGCACGTGACTCATTCTGTCAAGTCACTACAATAAATATGGAGGTGAAGGAGGAAAAGAAAAAGGAGGGGGCCGGGAGGAAGAGATTGGTAGTCCTATTAATCTGTCATATAGAGTGAAAGCACCTCTTGCCTTGACTATTCTTGTCTTTACATCTGAGTCTCTTCCTCCAGCATTGTCTATATGAAGCTTAGTAGTCATATTACGTTTCTAGATTACTGGTTTGTTTGACTTTCACTAGATGGGGTATGTCTGTATGTCTGATCTGTCTGTCTGTCTGCCTGCCTGCCTGCCTGCCAGTCCATCTGTCTATCCGTCGATTTGTCTGTCTGTCAATCTATTTATCTAGCTATTATGTACTCACAGAAGATCCCCATTGAATGCCAAGCATGTGATAGAATCAGTATGGCCCTGGAGAGTGGTGATGTTTGTGAACTGCTTCATGTCCCAGATCTGTCAAGAAAGTAAACAAACTGAAGGTAGAATTTTACTAAGAATTTGAAAAAGTAGCGATATAATTGTAATTCATTCTTTTTTCATCTGAATCTCAACAATATAACATCATTCAAAAAAGCAAATATTCATCCATATGTGCATTTGCGGATCCGTTTATCAGTGTAAAGGTCTTTCTCTCTCTCTCTCTCTCTCTCTCTCTCTCTCT